CAATGAAATTGAATGAGCCTCCCTTGGTGCAGCCCACCCAAGAACATGAAATACTTCTCAATAAATCAATAAAAAAATCCCTAACCCCAGATATAACAGAGGTTTGGAACAGAAGGGCTTTTAAAACTGGACACCCTGAAGTCAATAAGAAATGAATCAGATATTCTGTCCCTCTCTGAGAGCCAAACAAAGCATTAGGATGATATGCAGTAGAGGCTGAAGAAGGTATATTCTGTCTGCATGCGGGTATAATATTCAAAAACATTATTTAGAACGTTCTTATTGCTGGGCACACGAACAATTCTAAGCTTTTGCTCTGTTCTAATGAAGACATACGAATAAAGCTGAAACAGAATGAAAAAAGAATTACAGAATTACTCTTCGCCATCTTCAATACTTAATTTGTGATAAGAGAGCTAGTTTGATCTGGTGGTTAAGGCACCACGCTGGAAAGCAAGGGACCGTGAGTTCAAATTCTGCCTTAGCCATGAAAGTCAGCTGAGTGACTTTGAGGCAGTCACTCTCTCTCAGTCCCTCACCTCACAGGGTTGTTGTTGTGGGGAAAATAGTAAGGTGGGTTGGATATGTTGGCCACCTAGAATTATTTGTAAAAATGATGAAGGAGGGATACAAAGGAATAAGGTTTCAATGTTTGTAAGATGCCCAGAGTAGTCTCTGGACAAAATGGCGGCACATACATTTACCGTATTTTTCAGAGTATAAGATGCATCTTAGTTTTGAGGGAGGAAAATAAGGTGTGTGTGTGTGGAATTCTGCCTCTGCCTACCAGCATCCATCGGTATTCATCTGGCTAGCATCCTGTCAGTGTGTGAGAGTTGAAGGTTGTTTGGAAACTGAAACAGTATTTGCTGTGTGAGCAAGAAAGAGACAACAAGGAGCCTGGTTGTGGCTTAGCTCAACTGTTCTGTACTAAAGTTGCATGCTGCTCTGAAACTAAAACTTAAACTCCCCTTCTCTGCATGTGTTTTGCTTGTATTACCATGTATCACCATGTAATTGTATTACCATGTAATTGTACCATTGTACTACCATGTTGGAAAACCTGCTTTTGGTATTGTATATTTGCTTCATATAAAGGGAAGTTATTGAATCCTGCTGAATCAGTTACTTGGGTGTGCTTTCTGGATGTGATTGCTGCTGCAAACTCTGACACGTCCTTGCAGCAAATAGCAAACAACCAGGTCAGTTTCAGCACATTATTGCAGCCTGATGCAGCAGGAGCAGCAGATCGGCCTGCCGGAATACCCCCAATCAGCCGTTCCAGGCTGCAGGGATTGCCACAGACCATCGCTGCCTCCGTGCCTCGCATTTTTGGCCTCGTGGCCAGGGCTACATTCGGTGTATAAGACGGACCCAAATTTTCACCCTCTTTTAGCGGGGGAAAAAGTGTATCTTATAGTCCGAAAAATATAGTAATTAATTTAATTCAGCTGGCTCTCGTGGTTACATAGACCAGGGGTCGCCAACCTTTTGGACCTCAGGGACCACCAAATTTAATTTTAAATCCACCACCTCATAATTTTAAATCCCGCTAATATGAATTTTGACTGACAGTGGCTTGCTGACGTTGGTGGGAAAGTCGGCCCCATATTCCAGAGGTGCAGTAGTCACAAGACAGGCCCCTTTGGTCATCTCGGAGCTCTCTCTCTCTCTCTCTCTCTCACACACACACACACACGTCCCTCATACCCTCCAAGGTAGCCGCATTCCTTCACTAACCTGCTTTTCAGCTCTGTTCTCAGGGGGGGAGAGAGAGAGAGAGAGAGAGAGAGAGAGAGAGAGAGAGAGGGTATCCCGCGATCCCAAATAAAGAAAGATCGATCTGTAGGAAAACGGGATGGGGGATTTTCCTGCAGACTTTTGGGGGGATTTTTCGCAGGGTCTCTGCTGCTTCTGCTTTTGGCTGCATGCAAAGAAAACAGCAGAAGTCTTTCTTTCTCTCCCCCAAACTCCTCCAGAAACGAGTCTTTGCCGGCGCAGCCCCTTGGAGCAGGATGCCTTGCAGGGTCCCAAAGACTTATTTCTGGCGGAGTTTGGGGGCGAGAAAGAAAGACTTTTGCTGCTTTCCTTGCGTGCAGCCAAAAGAAGCGGAAAGAAGCAGCCCAGTGGCCAGGCGAAGCGCGTGGGGCAAGTTCCCCCTCTCCGTCCTTTCCCTTCCCCTCACTACTTTGTTGTTCGCAATGCAAGCAACGCAAGCCTTGTTTTTCCACAGGCCACGTGGGCGGCGCAGCCTTGTGTTCCCGCGCAGCCTGGCTTAATTGCTTTGGGGGTGACATTTCTCTGCGGACCACCAAAATTTTCTCTCGGACAACCAGTGGTCCCCGGCAACCACTGGTTGGCAACCACTGACGTAGACTACAGAGCACGGGTGTCAAATTTGCCACATCACTTTGATGTCACATGACCTACCGCAACGTTTTTTTTTTTTTTGTCTTCACGGAGCTGGGGTGGGCGTGGCCTGTGCGTGAGGCCTCCGGCTTGTGGGCCAACCAGTTTGACACCCAACATAGAGGGAAGCACTTGAGAAGTGGCAGTCCCTCTTCTGTGTGGTGCCCAGGATAAAAAGTCTTATTTTGAGGATCTGTTCTTTGCTTATATCGAATCATATCTAACAGCATATCGTATCCCCTCTCGTGTGCAATATATCACATCATAGATATCCTATCGTATTTCATAACGGCACTGTTGGATCGGCGTCCACTGCATCGCTTATAACCACTCTGCCCTCTGACCTGGATATGCTCCCGGTATTGCTGCTGTGCCTCGTATTCACGCTGCTGGTTTTTCAGCCGTTCTTCTTTGATCTTGACAAAGTTCTCGAAGTCCCCACGGTAGCTGTCCAGCCGCTGGGAGTGCAGGTGGATGACATCGGTGGCCACGGCGTTTAAGAAGTTCCGGTCGTGAGACACCACAAGGATGGTGGATTGCCAAGTCTAGAAAGGCCCAGATGGGGGGGGGGGGGGGGGGGCAAGATTGAGGTCTCAGCCAGATCTGAAGGTCCCAAGCCCCTTAAACCAGAGGTCTCCAACCTTGGCAACTTGTGGACTTCAACTCCCAGAATTCCTCAGTGTCAGGGCTCTGGCAGTTACCCCCATTTAAATCATGAGTCTCTAGCCGAACTTCCAAAACTTAAAGAAGATTTATTAAGAGTAAGTAACATGCCGGTGCTGCCTGTATGTAGCCGACTCTGAGACACATCATTCATTGTCGCCCTTGATCCTGGTTTTCCCCCACCCCCTGGGTGTATCGTAATTCATATTCTCCAATGGGACACATCCGTAGCCAAGAGTCATCAATCATGCTCTCCTGATAGAATTTTGCACAGCAGAAACCTCGGTCACCTAGAAACTATCTTCGAAAACGTTTATGGAATGCAAGTTACCACTGTTCCCCCCTCCCTTTCTGTTGGCAACTCTAAAAAGACCATAGATATATTTTATGAGTTGACACTCAGCCAGCAACTGGCCGAGGAATTCTGGGAGTTGAAGTCCACAAGTCTTAAAAAGTGGGCAAGGTGGCCATAAATTATCCCTTGCCTCCCTCAACCGTGGATGGCTTTCCAAATTTTGGACAGACCTGCAAATAGTTTTCCAGCCAGATGATCGCCTTCACGTCCAGCATGTTGGTTGGCTCTGGAAGTGAATTTGAAAGAAGGCTGTTAACACAAAGCCCCTTTGGACAAAATTCACAGGGAAAGACATACATAGGCAGTCCTCAATTTATGACTACACTGGAGCCCAAAATTTCGATTGCTAAGCGAGACCGTTGTGAAGTGAGTTTTGCCCCATTTTACAACCTTTTCTTACCAGAGTTGTTAAGTGGAAGCACGGTTCTTAAGGGAATCTGGCTTCCCTACTGGCCTTGCGTGTCAGAAGATTGCAAAAGAGGAACTATGTCACCACGGGACACTGCAAGGGTCGTAAATATGTGTCAGTTGCCAAGTGACTGAATCTTGGTCACGTGACTGTGGTTGTGAAGTATGAAAAATGGTCACCAGTCACTTTTTCAGTGCCTCTGTAACTTCAAACGGTCTCTAAACGAATGGTTAAGTATTCATGATGCAATGGCCACATTTTGAATTAAATAGCTCGAAGAAACAATGCTTCAACAGTTCTAATTCGCCCAGAACACGATTCAAACCAAATGAAGAAGATGGCCACAGCTCCTTTGTAACATTTGCAAAATAGTTAAAGAGTGGGGAGAGCCAACATTTTTGGGGGGGACATTGACGAGGTTCTCCTTGATGAAATGGGTGTCTAAACTCTTGCAAAGACTTAGGGATCCATTTTCCCTCTTTAACCTTTCTTTCAAATTAAGCTGATTTTGGGACGGCGGGTTACATTGTTAAATGGTGTCTGAGAAAGGCATAAATGAAAAGAAGGACTAGGGGTGACATGATAGCAGGATTCCAGTATTTGAGGGGCTGCCACAAAGAAGAGGGGGGTCAAATTATTCTCTAAAGCAGCAGAAGGCAGGACAAGAAACAACGGATAGAAACTAATCAAGGAGAGAAGCAACCTGGAATTCAGGAGAAACTTCCTAACAGGGAGCACAATTAACCGGTGGAACACAAGTTGCCTTCAGAAGATGTGGGCGCTTCATCACTGGAGGTTTTTAAGAAGAGACTGGACAGCCACCTGTCTGAAATGATATATGACTGTGATGGCGAACCAATGGCACATGTGCCACAAGTGGCATGCAGAGCCATTTGTGCTGGCACGCGAGCCGCAGGCAAACTTACTTCACTGCGTATGCCCATGCCTCACAGCTCATTTTTTTCGGTTGGTTTGAGGCCTTTTTTGGCCTCCCAGAGGCTTGGAAAAAGCCTCTGCAAGGCTTTTCAGGACGAATTATAGGCCCATCTCGTCACTTCCTGTAATTCTGGAAGTGACGAAAAGGGCCTATAACTCACCCGGAAAAGCCTTGGAGAGGCTTTTTCCAAGCCTCTGGGAGGCCGAAAAAGGCCTCAAACCAGCTGAAAATCAGCTGTGTGGTGCAGTGCAGGTAAGGGGGTGGCAGCAGCGGTGGCGGCGGGAATTGTGTGCACATCCCCAGGGGGCATGGGCGCGCATTGCATTCTGGGTGCTGGCATATAAGTGCGCGCGCGCTGGTGCGTGCGCAATTTTTAGCACAGGAGCCCCAAAAGATTAGCCACCACTGGAATGGGTCTCCTGCATGAATAGGGGGTTGGACTAGAAACCGTCCCTTCCAGCTCTATTCTGATTAATCAATTCAATCTTTCAAAGTTACCCCTTACAATAAAGACTTAAAACTTTTGGCCAACGCGTGATAGCGATGCCATATATCTCTGACAACTTCCAACTGCAAGAAAATTGGCCACAAATTCTGGTGGGTCATATTCATACATATGCCAAGAATGGTTGTAGCAATGGTTTCCAATCTAGGGAGCTTCCAAATGTTGGAAGTGTGTGGACTTCACTTCCCAGAATTGGGAAGTGTGGAAACACTGGGTCAGAAAAACTGGAAGATCATCAATCCACCAGGAGATGGGAAAAGGATTACATCAGTATTCCCTGGAGAATTCTTTGAGGTGGGTTTGCACCAACCCTTCCCTTCTGTCTACGTATGTCCAAAAAAGACTTACCATCAAGCAGAAGAAGGTCAGGCCTGGGAAAATTAAAATCAACAGAAGAGGAAAGGGAGACAGAAGTATTATTAGTTCAGCAATCATAAATTCTCCTTTCCTTTGACAGTAGATTTCTCACAAAGCTTTCTATGCAATAACTATGCCCTCTTCATATTTTCATCATCACTGAAAGCCAATCGTAACTAATCCATTCAAGTCCAGTTATTTTTGATGGGGAAATTCTTCAAATTGCTTTAAACCGGCAATTTTTTATATAAGCCTGCACTTTTATTACCATCGTGCAAAACTTGGCAAAAGGCTTCACTGCTCTAATGTTTAATTATTAAATGTATACACTGCCGATCAATCTCACCTAGCCCCAAATTCTGTAGGTAAACATCTAAAATTTGAAAAAAAAGGGAGGACCTTGCCCAACTTTTAAATTGTGAAAGTTCATTACACAGGCATTTGAAAAAGCTGAAAACGTGAAAACGGGGTGATTTGGAAAAGTAAGTAAGATAGATTAGATTAGTTTCATGCTGATGGATTAGACCAGGGGTCCCCAAACTTGGCAACTTTAAGACTTGTGGACTTCAACTCCCAGAAGTGCTCCCAGACAGCACAGCTTAAACTCTCTTGTAATCCCTTCCTCTGCAGTCTCTCCTCTTTGGGGGAATAAGAGAAAAAGAAACAGACACGGTTGGCTGAGGAATTCTGGGAGTTGAAGTTCACAAGTCTTAAAGTCACCAAGTTTGCAGACCTCTGGATTAGACTGAAAGATTTTCTCACTGCCTTGGAAGGCCTCTGTCCTTTTCAAAAAAAAAAAAAGTTTCCAATTTTGCAAGAGAACCGATGCCATGATTTAAATGTCTATAGAAATTCTCAGTCATCCAATTCTCCATGAAGCCTCTCGGCTGAGAAGCAAAATGTCGTCAATGCAAAACCAGAAAGTCCAGTTCCCTCTTGAAAAAGCACTTTTAGGACTCCGTCGTTTAAGCATTCTTTTTTTTTTCTTTTTGTCCTTTAAATTCTAGAAAAACTTAAGCATCCCCAACGGATACATATCTTTTGGGCACAAAAACACATACAGGTTAGCCATTGATTCACAACCATTTATTTCGAGACCGTTCAAAGTTACAGCGGCACTGAAAAAAGTGACATACGACGGTTTTCAGCACTTAGGACCTTTGCTCAGTGGTGGGATTCTACCAGTTTCCCTACCGGTTTGGTGATTGCGCACTTCAAACGCGCGAGCCAATCACCTGAGAGGATAAAGAAGAGAAAAGTGCATGGGCGAATGGGAGAGCCGACCCTACGCTTTTCTCTTCTTTCTCTTCTCAACTGATCGTCGGAGCTTTTTCTTTCTTTCTACCGGTTAGGCCAGGGGTCGGCAACCTTAAACACTCAAAATGCCACAAAGGACGTAACTGGGAGCCCCCTGTTCAATTCTGGAACTGACTGGAAGTCCAATTCCCCCACCATAGAGTCTCCTCCTAGCACAGCGTCTTTTTTCTTCTGCCGACCGGAAGTCCGGTTCCCCCACCATAGAGTCTCCTCCTAGCACAGCATCTTTTTTCTTCTGCCGACCGGAAGTCCGGTTCCCCCACCATAGAGTCTCCTCCAAGCGCAGCATCCTTTTTCCTCTACCTGTCCTAACCGAAAACCCCTATCCATCGTGGAAGTTGAATGGAAAAGCTGCCCCTTGCCATAGTCTCTCCTCATGGTGCACCGTGTTTCCCCTTCCTCTCAGAAGTGTGGCGCCAACCGGCGATAGGGAGCTGCAACAGAGGGATGAAAGAGCCACATGCGGCTCTAGAGCTGTGGGTTGCTGACCCCTGGTGTCAGGGCTCCAACATATCCACCCCCATTCAAATCATAAGTCTCTAGCCGCATCTCTCAGAGAAAAGAAAATTGATTTATTAGAAGTGACCATGTTGGTGTTAGCTGGATGCAGCCGACACTGAAATACATCACTCATTTCCTCCTTGACCCTGGTCTTCCCCCCACCCTCTGGATGTATATTCTCCAATGGGACCCATCCATAGCCAAGAGTTATCAATCATGCTCTCCAATAATATTCTTGAGCTCCGACAACTTTGGGCTGCCAGGGCGATTATTTAGGCACTTGAGGAATGCACTGTTTTCCCCTATTCCCTTTCTGCTGGCAGCTAAAAAGACCAAAGGTGTATCTTTTTAGTTGACAGTTGGATTAGGCTGAACCAATAGCAATTTTATCTACTGGTTCAACTGAAGTGGACTGAACCGGTAGCATTTCACCACTGCCTTTGCGGTATCCCTACGGTCATGTGCTCAAAATCCAGGCACTTGGCAACTTTGAACGGCCACTAAACAAATGGTTGTAAGGCAAGGACTCCCTATAGTCCAAACACTAGTGATCTCATCTCCACGCCCATCCCAATGCAGTCGGGCATCCTTCCTCAACACAGCTCATCCAGGATTAAGACTTCAAGCGAGGTTTTTCACTCCACCATTGTTACATATCAACCCATTTTTCTGGATAAGGATTTTGAGTACGACGGAAATCCTTCAGAAGACTCACCGGGCAAAAAGGGCACGAGCCAAAGCCAGCCTCATTCTCCAGCCTCCAGAAAACTCTCTGAGGAAAAGGAAATAAAGGAGAGAGAGAGATCAGTTTCCCTGGGCCAGCCGGACCCCAGTTTGCCTGTAGATACAGAAGGTCGCCTTACATTTTTCAAGGGTTGGTGTCAGAGATGGCCAAGTTCACTTCCCCCTCTATCACAATTGTAATGTGAAGGGACAGCTACCAAGCTTCCTATCTCTGGAAGCGCCCCTCTGTCCCAGCACCTAGCAGTAGGCAAGATCAAAAAAGAAAAAAAAAATATCTAGGATCCCATCGTTCAAATCACAGAAGGGAACAATTCAGTCTTGGCTAAAGCCCACTTACTTGGTTGTCTGTTGCTGCATCTTGGCGCTGAAGCCCAACCCGGCCAGGATGACAGACGCTCTGAAGGAGGAAAAGCAAAGGAAAGGGAATGTAATTTCTAGATTCCAGAATCTAGACTAGAAGCTGACTCTGGATGGGTCTAAAAGAAACTCTGAAATGTTTTAGGAAAGGCAGCGATATCTGAACTTGAAATAAGGATTGATTGGAAGTAGGAGTATATTTAGCTAGAGGTGCTAACCACAAAGGGTGGCATGGTGGCTGCTCAGTGGTCATGATGCTGGGTAGAATCAGCTGGAAAGCATGGCAGCCCAGGTTTGAGATCCGAGCATCACACAACTGGGTGAGCTCCCATTCCTTGCTCCAGCTCCTGCCAACCTAGCAGTTGCAAACGCGAGTAGATAAACAGGTGCCACTTCAGTGGGGAAGATATCAGTGCTCTGAGACATCATGCTGGCCACATGACTGTGGAAATGCCTTTGGACAGCGCTGGCTCAATGGCCTTGAAATGGAGATGAGCACCACCCCGTACAGTCGGCAAGGAATAGCAGAGTAAAATCTGCATGGACTCCTTTACCCTTTTTTGGGCTGGCCACAAATGCTTCCTTTATCAAAACACTTCAAATGACTGTGGAACATCTGTCAAACCGCAGGAAGAGCAGCCCAAACGTGACACCTCAAAGCTCCAATAGTGGACAGCTTTGTCGTTCCTCGCTAAAGACTTCTGCTTTTGGGGTTTCCATGGATGGAAAAGCTAAAGTAAACTAATGGGTTTGTATGTTTCTAGAAGGTTGCCCTTCTGCAAACATTCTTTAAATCAGATTTCAGGAAGATCTAAAGTCTGTTCTCCCAATTTAAGATGAAAGCAGTTAACCCTCGACTTACAGCCTTTTGTCTAGTGACCACTTGGAGCTACAATGGCACCGAAATAAGTGATTCATTAAGTTTTCACATTTAATGACCACTACAGCATTGCTATGTCACGTGATCAAAATTCAGGTGCTCGGCAATTGGCAGGTATTTATGACGGTTGAGCTGTCCTGAGGTCATTTTATCACCATTTGCAACCTCCCCAACCAGCATCCAGTAAGCAAAATCAATTGTTGGGGGGTGGGGGGGAAGCAAAATTCACTTAACTCCAATATTCACTTAACGATGGCAGTGAGTTATTTAACCACTGTGCCAAAAAGGTCATAAAATGAGGTGCAACTCACTTCACAAGTGTCTCGCTTAGCAACACAAATGTTGGGCTCAACTTGTGTTGTGGTTAGCCGGCAGCAGGTGCGGACGGCTGAAGAGAGTGAGGACTCAGATGAGGGGCCAGGACCATTGGGGAGTGGACTGCTGCCTTCAGAGATTGTGGGGGCTGGCAGCAGCGATGAGGAGGTTCCCGAGGAGCCTGGGCCAAGTACGCGTGCGCGCAGGGCTGCTCACAGGAAAGAGCAGCTGCAGCAGCACGGGCGACTCGGGAGTAAGGCTGCAAGTAATGGCCCCACCTTCAAGAAGATAAAAGCCAGCTGTGAATCGGATGTTCTTTGCAGGAAGCAAAGACGTTTTGAAACTCGAGTCTCGTGGACATTGCAGTATCTTAGTTGGTATTTAAAGACTCTTGTGTTGTAAAATATTTCTAGATAACCTTATCTGATATTCTTGGCAGCCTCGTGCAGTTTTGGCGAGGCTCGTGCTTATCAAAGTCAATTAGTTTGCAGCAGCCTTTTAACCGGGCATTCGTAAGAATCATTAAAAGGTTTCTGTTCCCTTTGGTTCGTGTTTGTTTTATTGCAAAAAGGTTTTGGGTCAGAACAACTTGTCATTGTAAGTCAAGGATTATCTGCACTCTTTCATTTGGAGAACTGGAGAAGCATCCAATTTCCATTTGGAATTTAAGAAATCTGATTTCTTGGTGGAAATTTATTACCCCCAGCTGATGGGAGAAATTGCCTCTTCCCATCCACATGTTATCTCCATAGACTCGTATGCATCAAGATTTGCTATTTTAGACCTGGATCTTGCGCAAGTTCAGCTATTTTAACGGAACTCACCGACCACCAAGCAGATAAATTCAGAGCTGTATCTGCTCCTAGAGAAAGTTTCTGCTTACCTTGCTGGGGCCTTGTCTGCCTCGATCTCTTCTAGCCTGGCGTAGATTTCAGACAGCCGAGCACCTTCTGTGCCTATTCCCCTGGAAAAAAAAAATGTCAGAAAAGGAGCATGGTGGTTTGTAGATTAGCTCTGTACTGCACTTGAAATTTGATAGTGTTCCTTGGGAACAAAGTTCCCATCCAGAATTAATAGCAATAAGCACTTAGACTTACGTACCACTTCACAGTGCTTTACAGCCCTCTCTCAGTGGTTTACAGTCAGCATAATGCCATCAACAATCTGGGTCCTTATTTTACCCACCTCAGAAGGACAGAAGGCTGAGTCAACCCTGAGACAGTCAGGATCGAACTGCTGGCTGTTGGCAGAATTAGCCTGCAATAATGCATTCTAACCACTGCGCCACCACAGAAGGGAGGGAGGGAAGGGCAATAGCGCTTAGACCAGTGATGGCTAACCTATGACACGCGTGTCATTCGTGACACGCCGAGGCACGTTGACTGACACGCCTGTTGGTGTGGGGAAAACCTGCACATTTAGAGGCTGCCTGTGCTCTGCTCCAATCCCTGCTCCCTGCTTGTTGCGTGGAGGCGTGGTGTCACCGCTGCCGCAAGATCTTTGCAGCAGAGAACCAATTTTAACCGCCATAAACTGAGGTTTGTCAGTTTCATTACCTCAGGAACGCTACAGGAGGAAAGGAGATCCATGAGGTTCACAGCCCTGTAAGGTGGCCTTCCGATCCCCACATCCTGCACCTGCAGCCCTGAGACCAGGGAGACGAGTTTCACAGCCCTGTGTGATCACCCCAGCCCAGTCCGTCATAAACCAAATTATTGATATTTCTTGAAGTGACACACGACCCGAGGAAGGCTACACTTTTTCCCGATTTTCGACACACCAAGCTGAAAAGGTTAGCCATCACTGGCTTAGACTTACATGCCACTTCACAGTGCTTTACAGCCCTCCCTAAGTGGTTTACACAGTCAGCCTGTTGCCCCCAAACAATCGGAAGGATGGAAGGCTGAGTCAACCTTGAGCCATTCAGAATCGAACTCCTGGCAGTAGGAGCAGAGATTTAGCCTGCAATACTGCATTCTAACCACAGCATCTGAATTAGACTGAATTATGACGGTGTTCCTTGGGAACAAGGTTACCTTCCAGAGTTAACCCGGGCAGTCAGCTCCTTTTCCTCCTTGAGCAACCCCTCACGGACCGTGTCACATTCCAGCACACTCTGCAGGGCTGGCGTCTCGTCCCCGGCCACTTCTTGCTCCACGTGAAGGATGCTGATGTGCAAGGGGATGCGCAGATTGCGGCTGGCGATCATCTTCAACAACGTGGTCTTGCCCAACCCGTTCCGACCTACCAAGCCGTATCGCCGGCCGTAAGCCAGGTTCAGGTCTGCTCCCGTGAGGAGGACCCTGAAAAGAGGAGGATGAGGACAATGTCAAGCTCTGGCCTGGACAATTGTACCCTGATGGGTAGATGTGTCATGCCCCTGTCGGAGTCTGAATCTGAGACAAACTTTAACTGACAGGGAGTGGGAGTATGGCTGTGGAGGAAACTGGGGAAGGGCAAATTCCGGCTGGGCAGAGTAGGGAAGAGATAGAACAAGGGAGAGGGAGTTCAGAGGAAGATCCAGGCCCACCCCCTCTTCATCCTAGGGCACGCAGGAACGGAGAAGGGAGCAACATGGGTTGCGTGGCTTACGGGGGAGGAAAGGGCCCTGATTCCCTTCATTAGGCACAGCAAGGAAGGGAGTTTAAAAGAGATGCATGCCGAGTGCGGCAGCTGCTGAGGGCAAATGTGGGTTTAACTTGTGTTGACTTTGGTTATCTGTGTTTCTGGCATCTTCCCAACCTTGTTGAGTTACTGCCATGCCTTCATGTCTGGAATTCTTTCTCCTGCCCTGCCGGACTAATTACCCCATTTTTCCTTGAATTGGACTTATAGTTACAGTTTTTATTGACCACGTTTTGGACTTGACTCTCTGCAGCCCAAGGCTGTTCCTGGGAGAGTTTTTCTCCATCCAGAAGGTAACCAAGACATTGGAGACAAAGTTGGAGCTAATAGAGGGACTCCTACTGATTATCTCACTGTGTTGCCTTTGTGCCACACCCCGGGGTCATCACAAGACATAAGAATTGCAGGAACATAGAGCCACTTGTCTAGAAAGTCACCTAATGTCAGCTCTTCCAGGTAAACCAGATAAGAAACTAGATGAGCCAATTCTACTTTATTGTTGGGCTACCTTAAAAGAATCTTGCAAAGTCTCTGCTGCTACAGGTAGTCCTTACAATCACAATTAAGCTCCACATTTCCGTTGATGAGCGAGGCAGTTCTTCAGTTAGTTTTGTCCCGTTTTAGGACCTCTCTTGTCACGGCTGTCAAGTTAATCACTGTGTCAGCCTGGGAAGCCATTTTACTTTTAGAGCTTCTTGGCTGCCACACTTAAGTGCCTGGGAATTTGGGAGGTGTTTTTTTTTTAAGGAGCAGTGGATGATTAGCCATAATGACATTTTTCTACGAGAGTCAAGGACATGTCATCTTGCACCTGGAGGGGAGTGACTGGGGATAAGTCTCCAGATGGGATGGGTCATGTGATGGACTGATGAAGGCAGGGGATAGATCTTTGATTTTCTTTTGGGAGAAGGGAAAACCCAGAACTCTCAGATTCGGGTTTTCCCAGATATGCCAATATGACATCTATTTATATAAAAGCGAAATACCCCTCATGCATCGTCACAAAATCTCCAGAACTGTAAAGCCTATAAACTTGAACATTGGCATGTTTGTTCCTCTTGGCTTTTAGGTGCTCACTAAGAAAGGATTTTTCGAAATGACCATCAGAGCATTAGTATTATTACTAATTATTATGAACACACTCTGATGCTAAGGAGTTCTACTCTCCCTCCCCACCTGAAAAGAAATCTGTTCCAAATGCAAAACACAAGCAAAGGGGAGGAGTTTCAGTTTCAGAGCACCAAGCAGTACAGAACAGTTGAGCTGAGCCACGCCCAGGCTCCTTGCTGTCTCCTTGCTCACACAGCAAATACTGTTTCACTTTCCAAACAGCCCTCAACTCTCACACACTGACAGGACACTGGCCAAATAAATACCGATGGATGCTGGTAGGCAGAGGCAGAACTTTCCCCCCTTATTTTCCTCCCCAAAAACTAAGCTCGACCACATACTTTTGTAGCGAAGCACGGGAATTGAGCTAGTCTTTAATAAAATGGACTTTGAGAAGATGATTGTCTTGGAGTTTGTTACTTGGAATGCTGACACACTGCAGTCGTTAAATTAGCTTGTTAAGTGAATCTGGACTCCCCACGGACATTGCTTTTCAGAAGGTCACCAAAGGAGATCCCAACACCCCGGGACACTTCAACTGTCGTAAATATGAGTCAGTTGCCAAGCATCTGAATTTTGATCACGGTACCATGGGGATGCTGTAATGGCCGTAAGTATGAAAAATGGTCACAAATCACCTTGTTCGGTGCCGTTGTACCTTCCAACGGTCACTAAATGAATTTTAACCTGATCCATTAAGGTGGGTCCTTCCTAAATTTCATTCTTTGACCGTGAAGCCACTGGCGGCTCCTGCTTTTCTTGTTCATTCATTTCCTAGCCAACATCTCTTCCGCTCATCCCCTAAGGCCATCCACACATTCCGTTACACCCCAGCATGTAAATGGGGCATCACAACTTTAAATACATACGTGTTTTTTTCCCCCAAGTCCAGCTTTAATCCTATTCTATGCTCAGCTCCATTTCAACAGAAATATTAACATCTTTCCCCTACAATGTTTGGGCTGGATACCACGCTAGGTGTAACCACAGTTTAGCTTACAGTGCTATGCCAAAGGAGTCCAAATGGCCAAATCAAAGATGCCGCAAAGATGTGTGACCCTTAATGTGGAGACTCACCGCTCGCCGAAGGACACGTCGAAGTTTTCGATGCGTACGTCATAGGACTTGTTCTTGCCTGACATTTCGAGACGGTTCTCTTTCTTACTGGCTGCTTGGCTGGCAGACGCTTCTTCAAGAACCCTGCCGTCCAGAACAAGAATACAAACAACCATTAAGACCAGGGAAGAGTACATGTTCCTTCCCGTTTGTTGGAAGGGTCAGTTTTCCACATGGAACAATGAGGTTCTTCCCCTTCTGTTTTCACATTTGCATGAAATTCCTGGCTAAGGTTATCATCAGGATGCTAGGTGTAATGACCCAGAGTATATCAGAAATATAACAAAACCCAAAACATAATTAAAAATCCTTTAATGCCTTCAACTTGGCTTCACTGTTTAATGGTTCACAGTGGAGGAGTAAACTATTTTCAAAATAACATTTCAAAGGAAAGAAACACAGTTCAAATTCAAAGAGCCGATAACGAAGCAAAAACCAAAAACAAACCACATTGAATAAAGTTCGACAGACCAGGATAGATAATTGCCAACTTCAGGAAGATAACCAGGGACAGACCGTTGGAAGAACGCCAACCAAGATAAACCTTCTTTAGGAATAAAACACTAATTTATCTCCAGTGTCTGTTAGCATGCAGGTCCAAACTCTTATGCAGATCTCACACCTGCAACCCATGAAGAGGATCATGGCTCTCTCTTCCCGAGTAGACAACGTTTTACCCTGATCCTCTCCTCCCTGCGTGCCCTAGGATGGATAGGGGATGGGCCTGGGTCCTCCTCTGACTGCTCAGTCAGTCTCCACCAAGAGAATGACACTAGGTAATAGTAAAGGTTTCCCTTGTCAAGTTCAACTCTATGGGTGTGTGTGTGTGTGTGATGGTGCTCATGTCCATTTCTTATCCAACGGAGCCAGCATTGTCCAAAGACACTTCCATGGTCATGTGGCCAACATGACCTATACACCGAGGCTCATGGAATGCTGTTATCTTTCCACCAAAGTGGTACCTATTTATCTACTTGCATTTGCATGCTTTTTGAACTGCTAGATGGGCAGGAGCTGAGGCAAGGAACGAGAGCTCACCCCGTTGTGCGGCGCTTGGGTCTCGAACCCCAGGCTGCCAGCTTTCTAGCTGAAAAACTCAGTGCCTTTAGCCGCTGAGCCATTATGTCATCACCAGTACGCTGGTGATACCTAATTATATACACCTGGACCCCTCAATCACTCAAGGGACATCATCATCGTTTTGTTCCAGCATCTGAACGTTGTGACAGCTTAATCCTGAAGACTGAATGGCATTGGGTAGCTGGACCCCTCCCATCTAGGAATGTTCCATCTTTAGTATTGGATGGGACGCCATGTCCCCACTCAAGACAGGTGTGTAATTTGATGGTTTTCTTGGAGGTGCAGCTCCTGCCTGAAGAGCAGGTGGCAGCTGTAGCTGAGAAGACCTTCATTAATGGGCATGCCTTGGGATGCTAACCTGACTCTATTGTTCTGCAAACTGCCCAGGTTGTCAGTTGGTGCCCAGGTGCAATTCACCATCTACACTGACCATCTACAAAGCTATTTCTGGCTTACTGACTAGCTTATTTGAGGGATCACCGATCTGCCTATCCTGATGATTAAGCAGAGTGGGTGCTGGGGATTCCTTGGTGCTCTCTTGAGCTCGACTGTTTGCTTGCAGGCATTTCAATCCCCAACTAGCATAGAATAGAATAACAGAGTTGGAAGGGACCTTAGAGGTCTTCTAGTCCAACCCCCTGCTTAGGCAGGAAACCCTACACCGTTTCAGACAAATGGTTGTCCAATCTCTTCTTAAAAACTTCCAGTGTTGGAGCATTCACAACTTCTGGAGGCAAGTGGCTCCACTGATTAATTGTTTTAACTATCAGGAAATTTCTCCTTAGTTCTAGGTTGCTTCTCTCCTTGATTAGTTTCCACCCATTGCTTCTTGTTCTACCCTCAGGTGCTTTGGAGAAAAAAATAGTTTGATTCCCTCCTCTCTGTGGCAGCCTCTCAAATATTGGAGCACTGCTATCATGTCACCCCTGATCCTTCTTTTCATTAAACTAGACATACCCAATTCCAGCAACCGTTCATAGTAGGTTTTAGCTTCCAGCCCCCTAAATATCTCTGTTGCTCTTCTCGACACGCTTTCTAGAGTCGCAGCATCTTTTTTTACATCGTAACTAGTAACATCATTAGTGCTAGTAACTTGCCCTGCCAATGTCGGGGCGGCATAGTAGTATGGTATTTTTACTTGGTAGTGCCTTGTTTAGGGAATTGCTTTCTTTTTAGACCATTTGTCTAACGTTAATCCCTGCTTATCGGGGGGGTTGGTAATAACCAATCTCAGAAAGCACCAAGGACTCCATACTTCAACCGTGAGCTACAGAAATTCTCTCCTATTGGAGAACAGATGTCCTCTGCTCCTTTCAATTAAAAAAAATGTCATCTACAGCAGGGGTCCCCAACCACCGGGCCCCGGACCGGTCCCGGTCCGTGGATCACTTTGTACCGGGCGGCAAAGAAATAAAAAAAATATGGCGGCTTTCTTCGCCTTTGGTGAATGCTGCTGGGATCAGGAATCAAGAACACAAAGGAGAGAAGGGGAGGGAAGAAGCAACCGAAGCCTGTCCTGCTCTCCGGCTCAGCGGCTTCGGTTTCCTCCCACCTCGTTCCTCTCTCAGTCGCTCTCTCGCTCCTCCACCAGTCCAGGAAGAAACTGCTTCAAAGAAGCCGGCAGGGTGGCTTCCTGTCGGCGCAGCTCCTCCAAAGCGCCCGTTCACCCCCACCCAGCCGCCCGCGGTTCAATCCAGTGCTCCGTTCTGCCTGCCTGCCTGCCTGCCTTCGTTTCTGGTTGTTTCGGAGCAGCTTTGGCTGAGAATAATAACTGTTCGCCTCTTTTTCTCAGCCGAAGCTGCTCCGAAACAACCAGAAACGAAGCAGTGGAAAGACTGATGCCTTAAGAAATTGACTCCGGTAAAAGTAGCCCCTGGCAGATCCTCTCACTGTGGCCCCACTCAAAGACAACCCCCCCCCTTGACTCACAATGGACTCCCAGATTTGACGGAATCTCGCTCCTGCTTCTTGCATTGCTTTGCTTTCAGGCGGGCCTCTGCTTTCTCCAGCTTTCTAGCGTTCACCATCTGCAACGCAAGAGATGGACAGCAAAGAGTCAATAGAGATACCCACCAGCCGCCAGAGAGAAGACCGGAGAGGAAGTTAAAAAGAAGAGGATAAGAGGTATACGTTGGACATACTACTGATCTGGAAGAATGGGAAAAGATCTGGAAGGTGAATGATAAAATAACAAAATCGGCGGCATCTAAGGAAAACCGACATAAAACATTCTGTCGTTGGCATTTGGCATGCTCAAGACTGGCCAAAGATCTACCCAAATTTAAAACCAAATTGTTGGAAGTGTGGACAACAACAAGGTCCCTTCTTTCATTCTTGGTGGACATGCCCCAAAGCAAAAAAAAAAAAAAACTGGAAAATGATTCAAACGTGGTTAGAAGAGTTAACTAAAAACAAAATTGATTTTGTCCCGGAATTATTCCTTTTAGGAATAATTTAAAAATAACTATAACAGAAAGACAAAATATCTTATATTACATATACTAACAGCAGCAAGAATTTCATATGCTCAGTACTGGAAGAAAAACTCCATACCACCTGAAGGCTTAATAATAATAAAAAAACAGAGTGTGTGGAAATGGATAAATTAACTGTGGAATTAAAAGAGAAAACAGACACAGAATACGATGCAGTATGGGAAACATGGTTTATTTGGATTGATAATAGATATAAGAATAGAAAATGTAAATAATGTATATAATAAATAAGAGGGTATGAAAGTATTATGTATTGTACGTTTTGATAGGACACATAAATGTATATATAATGTCACAGTGCTTTTTAATAACTATTTGTATTATGTATAAATGGAAAAAAATAAAGCATTATTAAAAAAACAAACAGAAGAGGATAAGGAGGTATGGGTAATCCTCGACTTACAATCTTTCATTTAGTGACTGTTCGAAGCGACAACAAGAACTGAAAAAAAGGGCCTTGTGACCACCTTGCTGACAACTGTTGCAGCATCCCCGTGGTCACATAATCAAACTTCAGGTGCTTGGCAACTAGCTCATATTTATGATAGTCGCGGTGTCCGAGGGTCATGGGATTACCTTTTGCAATCCTGTGACAAGCGACATCGATGGGGGAACGCCAGATTCACTTAACAATCTGAGTTACGCCCTTCACAACTGCAGCAATTCACTTAGCAATGGTGGCCAGAGAGGTCATAAAATGGGGCAAAAAAAACACCCGTCAGCTTTGGAAGCCATACTGCCACATTCTTGAGCCTGGGAAAATGGGAGGGGGGACTTTCTTGGAGTATATGTGGTTAGACATAATAGCATTCTTTTTCTAAGTCAAGGTCATGTTATTTCTGCACCTGGGTGAGGAGAAGTCTCAAGTTGGGATGGATAGGGATTGGGGCATGTGATGCGATGATGGGTGAAGGGGATGGATTTGTAGTTTTTACTTATTGCAAAGAAGCCCGGAACTTTCAGATTTGGGATTCCCCAGATGTGCCAGTTTACTATCCAAATAAAACAGAACTTTAGAGAAGATGCCTGTCTCGGAGTTATTGGTTGGAGTGGAGGGTTGCTGGAACGCTGACACCCTCACTTAACCACCGTCTCACTTAGCAACAGAAATTTAGGGTTCAGTTGTGGTCATAAGCTGAGGGCTACCAGCATTTGGTCGGCTCTTATTACAAGGAGTTTGATTTGGATTTGGGCTTTTTTTTTTTTGCCTCCATCTGTATTGTGATTATGGATGTCTATATCTGTGGATAAAGCCGTGGTGGCGCAGTGGTTAAAATGCAAAACTGCAGGCTACTTTTTTTAAAGTGTTAATGCCACTTTATTTTTTTAAATATATTTTTATTGTTTACAACTATAAATATCAAACACAGTGCTCTGGCATCATTTTGCCATACATACAAAGGTATTACTAAACCATTAACATTCATATTATTAGTACAATGTTCACAATCTAGGTCTATTTGTCCTGTTTTTGTTCCGACCTTCCCCTCTCTTCTGCAACCATTGATAAAACTTGTTCCAAGTATCATAATATTCTGATTCCCCCTTATTCTTCAGTTCTAGAGCTAGTCTATCCAGTTCTGCACAAGCCAGTATTTTTCTTATTATCTCTCTTTCTGGTGGTGTATTTTCATTCTTACAATATTGTGCATAGAACATTCTAGCTACTGTCAGTACGTGTATTATTATATATGTTAATGCCTCTGCTGTGACCTTCTGTCATTATTCATAAGAGGAATAGTTCTGGCTTAAATTGGATATGTTCTCCCACTATTTGCTCTACCTATGTTTGAATCTGTCACCAATATTTCCTTGCTTGATTACATGCCCACCACATGTGGTAGTATGTACCTGGTAAATCCTTACACTTCCAGCATTTTGGTGATAAGTTTCTAAACATTTTAGCTAGCCTTGCTGGAGGAAGATGCCACCACTGCAGGCTATTTTTGCTGACTGCTGTCTGCCTGAAGTTTGGCAGTTTGATTCTGACTGGCTCAAAGCTGACTCAGCCTTCCAAGGTCCGTAAAATGAGGACCCAGATTGGTTGGGGGCAAATATGCTGACTTTGTAAAGCACTTAGAGGGCTGGAAAGCACTGTGAAGTGGTATATAAGTGTAAGTGCTATAAAAGGGCCAGCAAACAACAGCAAAATAAGCTGTTTACTGGAGTTCTATAGCAAATATTGGGAGTGGGCACATCCCCCACATGGCTTTGGACTACAGCGTCTAGCATCCCATAGCAGGAGACAACATTAGCTGGTACAACTAAGAGATGCTGCAAAATGTGAAAGATCCAGCTTTGAAACCCACATAGACTCAAAGGTTAGGGATTAATAATAATAAAAACTGCTGTGATGATAGCCTTACCGAAGTCTGATCTCTCTTCAACAGCAGTCCTGGCAACAAGTCCAAGTTAGAATCTGCAACCAAGAACAACAACAAAAATAATTGTCAATTCTTGATTATTGTGTGGATGTTAGTATGAATATATTATTGTAATACTTGTTTTTGAAATAGATAATTGGAATGTTATGAGATTTAATGTTTAATGATATATTTAATTATGTTATGGATTCACTATTTTCTTTTTGTAAGTAGTATGTACTAAGCAGAATCAGATAGGGAATTTGGAGTTACCTTAAGTGTTAATTTAGAGGTGCGATGGAAAGGCATCATACTTTGATTTGTGATTTCAGGAGAATTTTTTTTATTTTATTATGGGGAATGAAATAAATAGACAATTGGAAAACAATGGACAAAGGATAGAAATATAATGATTTAAATTAAGTTAATAAACAAAATAGAATTAAGAAGAGTGGAAAGCGGGGAGAAGTTATAAAGAAGTTACAGAATGGTAATTAAGATAGGTAATGGCATATAAGATGAATATGAATTTAATCGAAGTCCATACAAAGAGTGGTAATCCGGGGCCAAGCTACTTTTTTGAAAAAGAAGTTTTACTTTATGTGTTTTGTGTGTCTATGTCTATGTGAGATTCAATAAAACCTTGGAGGAAAGCGGGAGGAGAATAATTGCAAACAAGACAGAGGGAAATATGAATAGGATGATTAAATTTAAAGAGAAGAAATGAGAGTGTTAAAAGATATTTAAGTAGAAATGGGATATATTAAAATTACACTGTATAAAATATTGTATTATCTGTCTTGTAAAAATTTACAAGGGAAAGAGGTTTAATGTGTACAAGGTTTATGTTTTGTTTGTCTTTAAAAACTAATAAAATTTGTTTAAAAAATAATAATAATTGTCAATTCTAAAGCTAGCCTAACTGTGGCCTTTTTCTCTCTGTAGGGAGGTTTCTTTTCTCATTGCTTCAGGGATGCCGCAGCCTGGAGTGAAGGGGCCAGGGGAGGGTGTGTGAATAGAGATAGCTGGGGTGTTGTAGCCAAAATAAAATTCTTTCCCCTGGGAATCAAGGACAATGGTGGAGGTGTTCGGAAGGTGGAGACTGAAGGTGGAGTTGCCTAGCAACTGGACTGACTACATGCTGATTGGACCATGTGACTGGAGATGCTTGGGGGAGGGGGGAGTGATAAAGTTTTTACTTTTAATTGGGAATAAAACCAGCAGGAACTGTGCCAAGTTAGGATGTCCCAATAAAATGTTCTTTGAGGAATATGCCTGGATCGGAGTTCTCCATTAATGGGATGTATTACTTGGAATCTTGACAATGATGTTGCTTCAAGAATCTCTCCATGAATTCAGAACCCCTTTTGTATTTATTCTGTAGGAAAGTGCATATGCCAATGTTTCTCACCCTTGGCTGCTTGAAGATTCTTCAACTCCCAGAATTCCCCACCCAGCCCCTTCTGGGAGTTGAAGTCCAGATGTCTTCAAGTGGCCCAGTTTGAGAAACACTGGCATGTGTAATAAACATGGAAACATTAACTTACTGGTGCATCACATATTTAACAAGCCACCCGACTCCGTCTTACCTTGATGTTTCTAATTTTGGCGTGCTGAAACGTGGCAGCAACATCAAGGGTAGGTGTGTGTTTGTTTTTTTAAAAAACGGGTACTTCTCCCACCACTTATAATTCTACTTCTACACCCTACTTCTCCCACCACTTATAATTCTTGTTGTTTCCAGAACTTGCTCTTCATAAAAGTGGTTGTAAAATCAAGTCTGGTTACACGGTAACTCAACTTACAATCAAAATTCCAGGTTTAACTGTGATCATAATTCAAGGACTACCTATATATATATATTCCCCCCCCCCCAGATTTATTTGGTAGTCTTGAAAACCTTGGCTTGTTTTCTGAAAGCATTTTGGGGGGTGGGGGTGTTTCCTTTTAAAAGCCTACAATCCCAAGAGAAGGAAACCATGTGCCTCTTGGTGATGTCTGCTTGGTAGAGGTATAGAAAGGAGTAGAATCTCACCCTTTTTGAGTAAATGCAAGAGACTTCTCCGCTGCACTACTCACCGTAATTGTCAGTGATCTTAGAAAGCTGAATTGGGGCATCCAGGAGGACCTGCCGGCTGCTCGGAGAGTTTTCATTCTCCCTGTCCAGAAACAAGGCTTGTTACTAAATGAAAATTCCAGATTCTTCCCCTGTGTCCTTATCCCATCGTTGTAAATCTCTCTCGCATTGGGGGATGCTTATAGTTCATTTAGGGACCATTCAAAGTTACAACGGCACTGAAAAATGTGACTTATGGACCATTTTTCACACTTACAACCAGTGCAGCATCCGATTTACGTTTGGAGGCTTGACAACAGTGCCATAAAAATAAGTATCCTGGCTTCCCTGATGCTTAATTAAAATAAGCCCTGGTAGCGCAGTGGTTAAAGTGCTGTATTGCAGGCAAACTCTGTCCACAGCCTGGAATTCGATCCTGATGGGGCTCAAGGTTGACTCTGTCTTCCGTCCTTTTGAGGTCGATAAAATGAGAACCCAGATTGCTGGGGGCAATATGCAAATGATGCTTACATTGTAACCCGCCCAGATTGTGTGGTTAAAGTGTTATAGGGTGGTAAATACTACAGGTAGCCCTCAACTTAGGACCACAATTGAGCCCAAAATTTATGTTGCTAATTTATGTTGACATTTGTTTAAATAAGTTTTGCCCCACCCAGTTTTAAGATTTTTCTGGCCACGTTTGTCAAGTGAATCATTGCAGTTCTTGAATTACTAACACGGTTGTTAAATGAATCTGGCTTCCCCATTGACTTTGCTGGTTGGAAGGTTGCAAAAGGGAATTACGTGACCCATGGGACACTGCAACCGTCATAAATGTCAGTTGTCAAGCATCCAAACGTAAATCGGATGCTGCAATGGTTGTAAGTGTGAAAAATGGTCCATAAGTCACATTTTTCAGTGCCGTTGTAACTTGGAATGGTCCCTAAATGAACTATTGTAAGTTGAGGACTACCTGTATCGCTGTAATATATAGCAGGGGTCCCCAAACTTGTAAATTTTAAGACCTGTGGATTTCAACTCCCGGAATTCTCCAGCCAGCCATGCTGGCGGAGGAATTCTGGGAGTTGAAGTCCACAAGTCTTAAAGTTGCCAAGTTTGGAGACCTCTGATATATATAGATTGCTTGAGTTCTCAAGTTCTACTCAAAGGGTCTTGGTGAATTCTGGACCTCTAGTGGCTGCTTTATGTATTATTAAATCATCATCACAAGTGAAGAAAGTGCATCTGTCTGGTTTCTCACGACCCCGTTTTAACCAGAGGCAACTTACAGATGAAGGGTGTTGAACATACGCTGGCAAACGGCACGGATGTCTACATCGTCTTTGGAGTCTCGGGACACATCTTGCAAGAGCTCGCCGACAGCTTCAAATAGATCATCCACCGTCTCAAAATCTGTGCTGCCACTGTGCAGGACCCCTGCCAAAAAAAAACCCCAATTGTTAATGCAAGGCCAAGACCCCAAGAGGCATTCCAACTGAGGAATTCGGGCAATTCTGAAGTTTGCAGAGGATACAAGTGATTGGTCTCATTCGAAAATGATGAATCTGCATACAGACGGAGGTTGTTCAACTTGCCTCGTGGTATAGCCAGAATAATCTGGAACTGAACACACTCAAAACCATAGAAATGGTGGTAGACTTTAGGAGAAACCCTCCCATACTGCCACCTCTTACAATACTAGACAACACAGTATCAACAGTAGACACCTTCACATTTCTATATGTCATGTCATTATATCACATGACCTAAAATGGACACCTAACATCAAAAACGTCATCAAAAAAGCATAACAAAGAATGTTCTTTCTGCGCCAACTCAGAAAGCTCAAACTGCCCAAGGAGCTGCTGATCCAGTTCTACAGAGGAATCATTGAGTCTGTCATCTGCACCTCTATAACTGCCTGGTTTGGTTCTGCAACCCAACAAAGACAGATACAGACTCCAGAGAGTAATTAGGACTGCAGAAAAAACAATGGCTACCAACCTGCCTTCCATTGAGGACCTGTATGCTGCACAAGTCAAAAGGGGGGCTGTGAAAATATTTTCAGACCCCTCACATCCCTGACATAAACTGTTTCAACTCCTTCGCTCAAAACGACGCTATAGAGCACTGCACACCAGAACAACTAGACACAAGGAGTTTTTCCCCCGAACACCATCACTCTGCTAAACAAATCATTCCCTCAACACTGTCCAACTTTTTACAAGTCTATTACTATTAATCTTCTCATCACTCCTTATCACCCATCTGCTCCCACTTGTGACTGTATGACTGTAACTTTGCTGCTTGTATCCTTACGGTTTATATTGACTGTTTCCTAGTATGATTTGATTGCTTACTGTACCCTATGACTATCATTAAGTGTTGTACCTGATGATTCTGGACTCTTGACGAATGTATCTTTTCTTTTATGTACACTGAGAGCATTTGCACCAAGCCAAATTCCTTGTGTGTCCAATCACACTTAGCCAATAAAGAATTCTATTCTATTCTATTCTACAATTATTTAATCCAGGGTTAAAGAAATCTTGCTTCTTCCTGTTTAGCTATGTGTGATGTCTTCTACCGAAATACAAAGTGGCACATCTTGCAGCTTACTTATGGAGTCACATCAGACCATGGCTCACCCTACAATAGCTTGAATGAATGAATTAAAATTAAACTTTGGAAGGAAGCAAGAAGAAAAAGGAATTTGTTTTATCTTTGCTGAATGCCAGGCCTGGAGGAGCCGAACCAAACAAAAGAGGGACATCTCAGGTTTTTAGTACCCTGAATTCAACTAAATAGTAACCCTAATTGAAATAATGTAGACTTGCTTCAATGTAAATACCTGCTGAATTATGGTGAAAATGAAATATGAAAAGAAATCTGCCAAATACTTAGCTGAGATCATCAGGTGAAAGCATAGATGCAGCAAGAATTAGAGAACAGCATTTAAAAACATACTCTTTTTACAGCATTTTTTCCTTCATAACAGGGGATTCCAACCTTGGCAATTTTAAGACTTGTGGACTTCAACTCCCAGAATTCTAGGAGTTGAAGTTCACAAGTCTTAAAGTTGCCAAGGTTGGAGACCCCTGTTCTATAACACATGAGCTTTTCGTGTTGGTGCTCAATTTTTTCTTGCAGAGGTCACAGCTAAAAATACATGGGAACATCTACTCTGGAATAAGATATTGGACGCTTTATGAGCACCCAGCTAATATCTGCTTACATTTATCCAGTGTTTTCAAATATATAAATCATTTCACATTTATGACCTGTAGCGTGATATGGCACTATTTATCTCCATATTTCAGAGGGCTGGAGAGAAGCTGCTAAGAGTTGTGAGACCTGATGGCAAAATAACAGTTGGCAATAAACTTAACTCTTTCCAGAAGATGACTTTTGCTCACAAACCCCCCCTTCCAACAATTACACAGATCTATTTTAAACCAATTTCCAATCAAGGTAGCTGGAATGGTGGATGGCAGAAGTTGTTCAATATGCCTGTTGAAAGGAAGGCAGCCTCTAATCTGAACTAGATCTTCCACTTTCGAGCAAAATTTCCCAAATTTTGGACAAACTGGGAGGGAAGCAGAAAGGTTAAGCTAACAGATTTTGCTGGATGAGCCAACTGCAGACATCAGGATCTGCCTGTCTAACAACTGATCTAGATGGGACACTAGCAGGAATGTGACAACTGCAGCCTAGGCAGGAATTAAAAAATAAATCAATCTCTGAACCAGACAAAATCAAACCATTTTTGTATTGCTGGCAAGAAAACTTCAGAGCGACATCCATGGACTCATCTTGAGCCAAGCTCCAGTATAAAACAAATCCAATCTTATTTTTCTCCAGGACACAGCTATGTACTTTCTTTAAGTAAATGTGAAATGGGCTTCTTCTAAGGGGTGTGAGTGGAGGGGTTGATTTCACCCCAAATTCCAGAACTGTTTTTTTAAATTAAACTAGAGATTGTTGCTCTATATCAGCGTTTCGCAATGTTTTGCAATATGAAGACTTACTTCAACTCCCAGTATTCTCCAGCATGGTTGGCTGGGAAATTCCAGGAATTGAAGTCCACGTATATTATAGTTGTAAGGCAGAGAAATCCTGCTTTATACAGGCAGCTAACATAGATGACCTTACACAAAAGGTGCCAGGTTTTGACCTTCCTCTCCAGCATTGGTCAATGGATGGTATCTGCCAGGACTCATTGTTTAATGAGTTTAGACAAATTTTTAGACAAATTAGACTAATGTTTAGACAAATTCCTTGTGTGTCCAATCACACTTGACCAATAAAGAATTCAATTCAATTCTAGTGGAGTCTTGTCTCTACCCCTCAGTGTGACTGTGGTGCGCCTCAACAAAATATCCATCCCATTGTGTCGGAATGTCCATCAAGAGCTTACACCAGCCCAATGTCTGTTTTTTTTCCCAACATAGACCACCCTGTCCTTGAATGGCTGGGTGGACTGGACATTAACATTTGAACCACTAAAAGTCCATGTATTTGCCATTGCTAAATAAATAAGTTGCTTTATAATCTGAAAAGTCTATAAATAAGAAGGAAGTCGGCTCATCCATTCATCTAAGTTGAGTTTTTAGGCCCAGAGATCCAACCCTTTTCCCTCAAGCTCTGAATTTCTCCTAATAGTCCTAAAGGTGGAAAAAATGCCCCAGGAATGGGAATTTCTTAGAATCTTTGAATGGGAGACCACTAGGAAATCTCAGGAATGGATGGATGCAGGAAGTTGCTAGCAGCTGAATTCAGTAGGAAGGTGCTTTTACCAGGATTAGAGCTTGGAAATAAAAGCTTTTTCGTCTCTTTGCCCAAGTTAGAGTTTCCAAATCAGCCTTACAAAAAGCGCAAATCTCTCCCCCCCCCTATCCATACATGGACTAGTCCAGAGAAGCGCTGACCATAGGCCACGCTTCTAAGGGGATGTACCAATGCATTGGGGAGGGGGGGAAGGAGATCCAGAAATCTCATGATCCTCGGAGCCCATCGTGCGATGTTCGAGAGATCCCTCTTTCCCCACCCCAGGAACCCACGAGACCCTTTCAGCTGCCCTCAGGAGGCTCCACCGCCCTCTTAGCCTCCGACTCTCTTTGGAAGCCGGCACAGCCACCCTGGGAACGGGGAGCCGAGGCCCAGGCCGATCCCAGAAGCCTAATCCTTCGCCGCCTCAGCCTCACCCACCGGTCACGTATTCGAACATCTCTCCGTCGAGCTCCGGGAACTCCCTCCGCAAAATCTCCGCACAGGAGGCCGCCATGGCAGCCCGGCCGCTGGGCCTTCCTTCCTCAGCCGCCGGCAGACGACTGCAGCGTTGGCCGCCGCGGTGATTCTTGGGAAACGTAGTCCTCCGCTTTAGCCGTAGGCCGGCGCAGAGGTTTCTGGGAAACCGAGGCCGTTTGAAGCTGTGGCGGAAGGCCCCGCTTGCTGCTGCTTTTTTGAGGGGAGTTCACAGCAAAATGGCTTGATGGATATCAACGGTAATAAGCAGACGAGGCCTCTGTGTGGGTCTTTCCTCGTACCGCAACTGGTGGCAATTCCTGGTTGATAGCCATAAGTCAAATAAGCTCAGAGTTGGTGTAGCGCTTGGTTAGGAGACCATCAGACAGATAACAAACAACCAAAGTTGGAAGGGACCTTGTAGGTCATCTAGTCCAACCCCCTGCCCAAGCAGGAGACCCTACACCATTTCTGACAAATGGCAGTTCAATCTCGTCTTGAAAGCCTCCAGGGATGAAGCTCCCACAATTTCCAAAGGCAACTTCTGTTCCATGGGTTGAATGTTCTCACTGTCAGAGAAAATTTCTCCTTATTTCCAGGTTGAATCTCTCCATGTTCAGTTTCCATCTGTTATTCTTGTCTGGCCTTTGGGTGCTTTGGAAAATAGCTTGACCCCTTCTTCTCTGTGTCAGCCCCTCAAAAATTGGAAGACTGCTATCTCCCCTGGTCCTTCTCTTCACTGGACCACCCATATCCAGTTTCTGTAACAGTTCATCGTATGTTTTAGCCTCCAGCCCCCTAATTATCTTGGTTGCTCTTCTCTGCATTCTTTCCAGAGTCTCAACATCTTTTTTTTAGTGTGGTGACCAAAACTGGGTGCAGTACTCTAGGTGTGGTCTTACTAAGGCTTTGTAGAGTGGTATTAGTACCTCCCTTGATCTTGATACAGAGGGATACTGTTAATGCAATTTAGGATTGCATTAGATTTTTGGTGGCTGCTGCACACAGCTGGCTCATATTTAGCTGGTTGTCCACTAAGACTCCAAGATCCCTCTCACAGTTACTGCTGTTGAGCCTGGTTTCACCCAGTCTATATGTGTACTTTTGGTTTTTCTTGCCTAAGGGTAGGACTTGACTTTTCTCTACATTGAATTTCATTTTGTTAGATACAGCCCAGTGTTCTAGTCTGTCAAGATCCATCTGAATCTTGAGCCTATCTTCTTGGGTGGAATAGCTCTTAGCTATTCCTGCCAGCTTAGTATCATCTGCAGATTTGCTAAGTTCCCCTTCTATTCCCTCATCAGACCAACCAGGGTTATTGGCTGAACTGGGAAATTCATCTGGAAGAAAATGATGGGCAATCTTTTGGCAAGAGAATGAAAAAAAAAGCATCAGGAATTAAGGGCAGCTGAACTGACAAGCCTTGCATAGCCGATGATAATAATAATGTCAATTGCAAAAGGCAGCTTTACTTGGAACAGCTTAAATCCTCCGACGATACTTCTAATACAGAGGTCTCGAAATTTGGCAACTTTAAGACTTGTGGCTATGCTGGCTGAGGAATTCTGGGAGTTGAAGTCCACAAGTCTTAAAGTTGCCAAGTTTGTGGACCCCTGTTCTAATACCATAAAACAGTGTTTCTCAACCTTAGCTGGCTGGGGGAATTCTGGGAGTTGAAGTCCTCATGTCTTAAAGTTGCCATGGTTGAGGGACACTACCATAAAACATCAACACCTGCGTATCTCAGGTCCTTGGGAAGGACTCAATAGGTGGATAAAAGTGCCAAATCTGGTCTGAACCGAAATCCAAGCTGACTGTGTGACGAACCATAATAACTACAAGGAAGGACTGGTGGGACCACAAAACAGACAAAAGTAATAGAAAATGAGGAAACTAAAGTGCTCTAGGGTTTTGTAATTCAAACTGGTAAGCATCTGGCCACATAACACCTCAGACTTTTGGTATTGGTAACTATTGGTAAGAAGAAAGACAAAAAGTCTGGATAGAGGCTGTGGCAGTCTCTGAGACAGAATAGGAAAGAAAGAACTGGAGAAAATACAAAGAACTGTAAATAAAAGTAGAATGACTGTGGCAAAAAGAAGTGGACATTAACATTAGTAACTAAGCAGATGAGGCTTCTGTGTGGTAATATAATATCAATAGTAATAGATCCCTTGGATGCAATCCAAAGCATCAAGAACACCAGTTGAACATTATTGGCATTCTAAACAACAGCCGGGACATGGACACACACACACACCTCATTCCAAAGGGCAGTTTTTGCTACAAAAAAAAAGTGCTTTTGGGATCCTGAGAAATTGTTTAACCCTAAGTGTGTCAACACTGCAGGATCGAATTGACTGAGCAAGAGTCCCTTGAGTAACCATGAACAATGCTACATACTGTATGTGATATTTTTTAAAAATATCAGTAAAAATATAAATTCTTTCAGCAAAGGATGTGAGAGAAAGGTATAGTGTAAACTCTAAATAATAGTTTAATTTTAAAGAAAAAGTTTGGCCATGTTCATGTTAAGCCACCAGATGGCAACATGGGATTGCTTTGGATGTGCATTTCATTTACTGTTTTGTTAGCGTAGTTTAGTGCTTAAGAATAATTTTATTTATTTATTTATTTATTTATTTATTTATTTGATTTGTCAATTGTTTACAAGATAATAAGTACAAGTGTATACATAGTTGTGAATATATGAAATGGGTACATATAAGAAAAATAAAAGAATAAGAGAAACAATAGGACAGGGACGGTAGGCACGTTGGTGCGCTTATGCACGCCCCCTACAGACCTCTTAGGAAAGGGGTGAGGTCAATAGTAGACAGTCTAAGGTTAAAGTTTTTGGGGTTTGGGGAAGAGACTACAGAGTCGGGTAGAGTATTCCAGACATTGACCACTCTATTGCTGAAGTCGTATTTCCTGCAATCAAGTTTGGTGCGGTTACTTTGAGTTTGTATCTGTTGTGTGCTCTTGTGTTGTTATGGTTAAAGCTGAAGTATTCATTGACAGGTAGGACATTGCAATGTATGATTTTATATACCATGCTTAAGTCGGACCGAAGACGGCGTAATTCGAGGTTTTCTAGTTTTAGAATTTCGAGTCTGGTGGCATAAGGTATTCTACAACGGGTAGAAGAGTGGAGAACTCTTCTTGTGAAATACTTCTGGACTTTCTCAATTGTGTTAATATCACATACGTGATAAGGATTCCAGACTGATGAACTGTATTCGAGTATTGGTCTAGCAAATGTTTTGTATGCTCTGGTTAGTAGTGAGATATTACCAGAGAAAAAGCAACGTAGGATTAGGTTAACAACTCTTAATGCCTTTTTGGCTATGTAGTTGCAGTGGGCTCTAGCACTTAGATCATTAGAGGTGAGTATTCCCAGGTCCTTTACAGAGCTTGGGTCATCAACAAGATCTTGACTATTCAGCTTGTATTTTATTTTCTGATTTTTTTTACCAATATGTAAGACAGAGCATTTATTTGTTGAGATTTGAAGTTGCCATATGTTAGACCATTCAGATACATAGTCTAGATCTTTTTGTAGGGTAGTAGTATTGTCTGTGGTATTGAACAGCTTTACATCATCAGCGAAGAGAACGCAATTGCTCTTGATATGATCACAAAGGTCGTTTATGTAGATTATGAAGAGAGTTGGTCCTAGAACACTGCCTTGGGGAACACCACTATTGACAGGTACTGGATTTGATAGGGCGTTCCCAATTTTGACCATTTGTTGTCTGTTTGACAGGAATGCTTCTATCCAGTTATTCAGTTGTCCAGAGATACCATAAGATTTTATTTTTAGGAGTAGTTTGTCGTGTACCACTGAATCAAAGGCTTTGCAGAAGTCTATGTAGATTGCGTCTATTGCTTTGCCCTGGTCGAGTTGTGTAGTCCATATGTTTTTGCAGTGTAAGAGTTGCAGATTACAGGATAGTTTTTTTCTGAAACCAAATTGTTTATTGGAGAGTAGGTTGTTTGTCTCTAAATGGAGGATGATGGATTGGTTAATAATTGATTCCATGACTTTACAGGTGACGCAGCATAAGGAGATTGGTCTGTAATTTTCAACTAGGCTTGGGTCTCCCTTTTTGAAGATGGGGATGACTGTGGCTTGTAACCATAGGTTGGGCAAGGAGCTGGT